CGGCTGGGGTGGGTTCGCGCCCCTCCTCCCGGGAGGGGGGGCGGAGAGCAGGTGCCGCACTCAGAACCCACGCGAACGCAGCACCGGGGCCAGCCGGATGGCGCTAGACGCCGAGGAGCACGACCCCCTGCCCCCTGGCAGCCATGACCTGCCTGTGGGTCCTTCCTGCGGCCACCAGGAGCGGTGAAACCAAGCCGCCGCCGCCGCTACCTCCACCTCCTGAGCCAGCTGGCCTATGGTTCATGCCAGGGCGCTTCGCTGCAAGTGGCGACATCGCTGGGGTCCTCCGAATGAATATAGGAAACCAAGCGTTTCCGTACAACGAGGAACATGTCTAAAAGCAGAGTTCTTAACTAGACCCTCCTGGTATCCCTGCGTAGGCTGGCGATCTGCGAAACTTCCGCAGTAGTTGTGGAGATTTACCTGTCTGTGCGTTTTTGCAGAGAGAAGGTCCATGGTTTTCATGGGACTTCTAAAGGCGTCTGTGACCCCAGAAAGGTTAAACATCACTGATTTAAAGAAGCTATCCAGAGGGGAAATGTTAATGGTTACTACAAATAATCAGAAATACAAATTGAAAGACAACACTGGGCTTCTCCCCAGACCCATCCAGCTTAGACCTCTTTGCAAGCTCCCCTTGACTAATAGTCACATATCTCACTCTTCTCCCACCCACCCATCCATTCCTTTGCTTGTGACAAGCCAATCTGCCGGGCTCTGTCCTACATGAAATGGTGGCCAGAATGAAGCAGACTGGAAGGTCCTAGAAACAGGAGGTGTAGACACGCCCCGAGCAGGAGTCCCTGACCTCTTTGCTGATGGCTTTGAGATGCCTTTCTGGGGCACTTGACCTTGAATGGTGGTCTTACCTGCAATTTTGCTGTGAACTCTGGAGTGCAGAGACATGCCCACCTTGTGCTAGCCTGTAAGTACAATGGTGGTCCTCAAACTTCGGTATGCTAAGTCAGCCCAAGGAAAGTGATTGCCTCCGGGGAGCAGTGAGGGGCCGGAGAACTGGGCAACTGAGAAATGGGGTGGGATGCTTGCTTTTTATTTATACTCTTTGAACCTTTTGACTGCCTTACTGTGTATGTTTCACTTATTCAAAATAATGATGATAATTGTTTAAAATCACCTCAGGAAGGTTTATTTGAAATTAGTTCCCCAGGGGTTTCGGATGTGGGGGAATTATGAAACACATTTTGGACGGAGAACCTAGGGTTTTGGGAGTCAGACCTTCTAAGGAAATCCGGCTACTCCCTAGCCTTGGACCTTCAACCACCCCACTGAGCTTCCTCTTGCTCATCTATAAAATGAGGATAATGATAGTAACTTCACAGGTTGTAATAAAATCATGTATGGGAAGCATATTTGGCATAGTAGGTGTTCAGTACATAGTCTCTATTTATTTAACTAGAGGCTGCTCTGTGAAATGTTTGGTGAAATGAATTGAACAGAAGCCAGAGCAGAAAGAGATGAGATCAAGGTTGATAGGCTTGGGAAATAGCCACAGCAATGGGCAAAGCCCAGTGCCTGCTGTGTATGCGTGAGATGCATTTGCAACCCTCAAGGAGGGAAGCTGCCTAGTAAAACAAATAATTAATGATATGTTTTGACTGTGGCAATAAATTGCCAAGCTCCCTAAGATGACAGGGCCTAAGTCATTAGTTCTGCCAGAGTGAGTACTGAAGGAGTTACAAAAAGGACAGGGTGTGCACTGAATCAAAGGATAAGGAGTGGAAGGGCATTCAAGGAAAGGAACCAACATACACTAAGTCCCATATTGGGAAAGAACAGTTTGGGAAATAATAAATAGCTTTTCATATTTGGAAGAGTAAGGCAGGAGATGGAATGGGGAGCTGGTTGGACACCGCACTGTAAGGAAAGCCCTTTATCCTACAGAAAGTGGGGCTCCTGGGGACAAGGGAGATTTTTTTTTTTTTTTTTACTTTTAAAGTGCCAGACCCTTCCCATTGGAAAAATGGCTGACTCCAAGTCTGAGGCAGGAGATATGCAAGAGGAGCCTGCCTGGGACATTTTGTCATGCCAGAAAGTAAAGAGATGAATTAAGACCACTGTTGTGTCAAAAGTACTCAGGAATCAAGTTGAAGAGACTCCCACTGGCCAAAGGTAGAACAATTTAAGCAAAAATAATCATTGCAATGAATTGAAACACCAACTATACAAAAATCCATAAATTCAACCAACAAGTTTCTGAAGTTACAAAACAAAAACAAAAAACTCACCTCATTGGTCACATTTGGAGGTTACTACAGTACCAATTCATTATAATGAAAATAGATAAAGGGAAAGAATTAAGTCTGTATTGTTTGTTGTACAAACTGTATCTCAAAGTAACCAAAGAGTTTCTGAAGGGAAATTTTTACAGAAAAGTTAGTTAATAAATGCAGAAGGAATGATAGAATTAGGGAAAAAATCTCTTTTACCAACTTCTAATGAGGTATTGTAATGGATTAAGGTCATGATTAAGGTGTCAATAGGGCTGAAGGTGGGTGATGGGTACGTGTATACATTTTATTGTTTTCTCCACCTTTGTGTATGCTTGAAAATTACTATAAAACATTTTGTTTTACAAATGTTGGGCCTTTTACTTACATCGTCTCCTATCCTTACAACAACCCTGTAAAGGTGGTTTCATGACCCCCATATTTAAACAAGAGGAAATCAAGACTCACAGAGCTAAAGAGGTCTGTCCAGACTTACAACATTGGCAAATAGGGGGTCAAGATTCAAAAAGAAGTTTCTCTCACTCCAAAGCCTCTTTATCTGTGCAGTAAAAGAATATAGACAAGCTACTCGGGAGCCTGAGAGGATCACTTGAGGCCAGGAATTCAAGACCAGGCTGAACAACATAGCAGGACCCAATCTCTACCAAAAATAAAATTAACTGAGTGTTGTGGCATGTGCCTGTAATCCCAACTACTTGGGAGGTTGAAGAGGAAGGATCACTTAAGCCCAGGAGGAGGTTGAGGCTATAGCAAGTTATGTTCATGCTACTGCCCTCCAACCTGGGTGACAGAATGAGACCTTGATGCTAAAAAAAAAAAAAAAAAAAAAAAAAGTCATGCAAGGCTGTCTCAAGAGCTTTAGGAGTAAGAAAAGTTGAAAGATGACAAGCAGCAAAGGCCCTGTGGGCTAGAAGGCTGTTGGGTAGCTGATTTATTCTTGCTCCGCAGAGCTGTTCACAGCCATCACTTCTGCCTAAGGTTAGCCCTGTGAAATGACAGGTACCACTGTCCCCCTATACCTGAGCCCAAGGTCACAACACCAACTGGATAAGAACCCGGGTCTCCCCAGCTGCCATCCAGCCTTTGTTCCTAAATCCTGACAGATTCTCTTAGAAGCTTGTGGCCCTAGATACAAACATAGATGCTGGTTTGTGTCTCCTTTTATCTGGGAAAGAGCTGGAGTGGTTAGGGCAAACCTCCCTTCAGACCTGACTGGGAGATACACGATTTAAGTGGGATGCAGGACAGCATGTAGCTAAGAGCACACATTTGGAAGGTTCAAGTCCTAGATCTGGGAGTTTCTGGCTATAGGCCTCTTAGCAGGTAGCTTGTATTAATAAAATAAGTTAGCATAGGTTTCCCTGTCTAAGATGGAATTAGGTCCATCTTAACCTGTACCTCCACTAAATCAGAATATCTCTGTGTGGGCATCATCATAAATAGTAGTGTCAGGAGGGCTCTATTCTGTGGTGCAAATATCCACACTGCAAGCCCTAGCTGATCTCAATGTATAAGTCAATTTTCTTTTTTTAAAGACAAGCGATACTATTTTCCGCTTGGAGAGAAGAAATGTTACATGTGCTTTGTAAGCGAGTGTGGACACAGCTAGGGCAGTGGGCTGGTGCAGTTGTCCCTGCTGTCCCAGGTTGTGTATGAGCCTATGTTTATCATACACTGAGTAGATATAAGAGAACATGTGTAGGACATAAGAATAACAATACAACATAGCCATGGGCTCACTAACCAGTTTAGGAATAAAGTCCCCATTTTAGTTCCCACTTCTCCTTCCCACTCTCCACTATAACCTGTTGACTTTGAACCCAACGCCTTCCTGTGTTCTTGCAAGTCATTGGTTCCCACCACTTCTAAGGTCCACTACAAGAATGTTCTTGCTTCAGCTTTTGCCCATTTCATCCATCAAGCCGGCTTTCACCCTCCATATTCCAAGCCCTTGTTGAAATCTCTCATTCATCAATGATTCATCCTCATCTAAAATGGAAACATCCCAAACATGGCACTCCAAACCCTCTTTACGTTTTCTTTTTGTCTATAGCACTCATCGCCTTATAAATTATTTATTTGGCTTGTTTCTGTCTCTTGTTATTAGAAAGAGAGCGGCAGAATGGCAAGAACTTTTGTCGGATTTATTTCACTGTTGTATCATCAGAGCCTGGAAGAC